TCACAGAAGGAGAGAGAGAGAGAGAAACATCAATGATGAGACTCATCGATTGGCTGCCTCCTACAAAACCCCCCACAGGGGATGCAGCCTGCAACCTGGGCATGTGCCCTGACTGAAAAGCAAACTGGCCTCCTGGTTCATAGGCCGATGCTCAACCATTGAACCATGCTGGCCGGGCAAATATCTCCCTCTTAAATAAAGGGCCTGCCCTGCCCTGCTCATCATGGCCCAAGTGCCCTCCCCGCCAACCCACTCTGGTGCCCTACCCACTCAGGGTTCCTGCAAGACCCTCCCTGGGATCGGGAAAGTGGGGCTCCCTTTCCTGGTCCATCCCTGCTAGATTGTGAGGACAAGCTCTGGTCATCCATCAGGTGTCACTGCCCCTTCTGGGTTCCAATTCCTTCACACATGGGTGGTGACAGCTCTGGTCCTACTAGCCCAGCAGGTACTGTACACCGTCCCACATTTTGTAGATAAATCCTCAGGTCGTCCCCAAGTAACAGGCTTTGTGAGAAAGGCAAGGAGAGGGAGGGAGGCCGCGGGATCTGCTTTGTGTCTGAAGCACCTGACTCTGCCTCAAACCCACTCTGACCGCCCTGGGCTGCTTAGCTGTCCCTGCCTGGACAGCTGGAGAATTAGGGCCTGTGACTCTCACGGGCGGGGCAGGCCCCTTTGTCGCTGTCTTCTTGGTGCTGGGGAAATAGATGGCACTGACCAGTTACTTAAGTGCTTAGTAAAAGGGATGGGGTGGTCAGCACCCCCAGGGGGACATGGAGGGAAGGGGCGCCATTACCAGCTTAGCCTGAAGGGCTCACTGGCCGGCCAAGTACCAGGACCCAAAAAGCATCCTGTAGAAGAGAGATCCGTGCCAGGAGACCCCGAGGTGGTCCCTGCAGCAAGTGCTGGGGAACGAATGGCGAGGGCGAACCCACAGGTCAGCACCCAGAGCCCAGGGTGGGCAGAGGAGAGCCTGGGACTGCTGGGCAGATGGAAGAGCGCAAGCCCAGCATTTGTTCCCCAAATCCTCTGCCAAAGGGGTCCCCTAGACTGGCTCTGGTTGACTGTCTTGTGCTATGTTTTTAGGGAGGTGAAATTAACAGGAAGTAAGTACACCTGAGTCACTTCAATTGCACAGCCCAGGGCATTTGTACCTCCCAGCCTTGTGTAACTGTCTCCCCTTTCCTGCCACAGATGCCTCATCACCCTGGGCACAACCCACACCATTAAGCAATCACCAGGGCATGGCTGTCAGCTCTGCTTAGCACCCTCAATTCCATCTCCCCTGCCGGTCCCTGAAAGTCCCCAGGTGGGAACTGTGTTCCATCTTCTGTTCAGTGCAGAGTTGCTTGACTCTAAGAGGGTGTTATGAACGTTTTATTCTTCCAGTTCATGGAGGGACGGGGACACACACAGCTCACTGTGCAGAGATTTCTCACTGCCGCTCTCCAGGCTCCTCATGCTCACTGTCCCACCCTTCCACGCTCCTCATGACCTCAGGACAGAAAATGCCACACGCCCCAGGGGAGCCGAGTGGAGTTCAGGAATGTGAGACCGACATTAACCCTCAGGAACACATATTCTACCTTGACCCTGAGCCACACAGGTAGAAATTTCACCCAACAGTCATTACACCTATGATGTCAGGGGCCCTCTTTTTAATCTATTTCACACAAACACGGGGCAAACCAACCAGGCACTGACCGCACTGACAGGCAGGACCCTGTTGAAACAGGCCCTTCCAGAGGCTCAGGCTTTGAGCAGGTGCCCGCAGCCCAGGGGATGAGCGGCATGGCCTCCCAGGCCGCCGGTTCTGAGCAGCCGTGCAGCAGGTTTGTGCAACACTTTGGTCCCTGCCGTGTCATTGCTGCTATGGAAACAGTGTGACTGAGCACATCTGGAACTCATGGTCTAGAACCGGGTTTACTCGCATCCTTTTACTAACGGGGGCAACCGAGGCCTGGAGACAGGACACAGAGTCCAGGCAGCGGGGTGCAGAGCTGTTGTTGGAGTGACTCCTGGGGTCCCGGGTCGACCACCCACTGACTGGGACCTGGGGCAACGCTGCTGGGCTCTCCTCCTCAGGGGGAGGGTCTCAGGTCCGGCGCGTGGCTGTGAAAGACCTTTGTAAACACGTCTGTTAGATCAACCGAAGGACTTGTATGCATGCATATAAGCATAACTAATGGACATAAGACACTGGGGGGTAAGGGAGGGTAGGGGTGTGTCGAGGGCGGGGGGGAAAAAAAGGACACTTATGTAATACCCTTTGTAATACTTTAAGCGAAAAATAAAAAAATATTAAAAAAAAAAAAAAACAAAAAAAAACACGTCTGTTGGTGGTTAAGGTTTCAGATGAAGAACAAAACCCACAGCAAAGGAGCAAATTTGCAAAAACTTAAAAATGTATTTATTTAGGGATCATCTAAGCCCTCTTGGAAAGCAATTTAGTTAAGATCATTGGTTGGGAGGAAAGTCACACTTTTAAAGTCAGAAGCAGAGACACCGGATTGGTGCAGAGCAGCCCCTCCAGCGAAAGTGGCACAGATTAGAGACGGCGTTCATTACCCCGACACGCGAACACGTGACAGAACCACGTGGTGAAGGTTCAGTTCAAAATCCAGAACTAGAAAGAGGTCAGCTCGTCCTGCTTGGTCTTGTTGGTCTGATAATTGCTCAAGGCCAAGGCCTCGTTTTCCTGAGTGAGACCTTCAAACACTCGAAGGTGCACGAAGTCATCATCCGCAACTTGAACCTGCAAAGAGAGTCGAGTGAGGGGGGCAGGTGCTGCCTCTGACCCCACGTCCCTGTGCCTGGCGGACTGTGTGAAAAAGGCCCTGAGAGCCTGGAGGCCGAGTCCCTTCAGGGCAGCGGTTCTCAACCTGTGGGTCGCGACCCCTTTGGCGGTCAAACGACCCTTTCACAGGGGTCGCCCTAAGACCATCCTGCATATCAGATATTTACATTACGTTTCATAACAGTAGCAACATTACAGTTATGAAGTAGCAACGAAAATAATTTTATGGTTGGGTCACAACATGAGGAACTGAATTTAAAGGGCCAGAATGTGAGAACCACTGCTTCAGGGCATCAGCCACTAGGGTGGTGACATTCCCATCTTCCTCCTTTGGACGTAACAGATGCCCATCACCCCAGCCAGCACCCCTGGCTCCCTACATTCGCTCCTCAGAGCCCTTAGTTGCCCAGAAGGCTCAGTCCTCTCCTCCATGGAGGCCTGCAGGAGTGCATGCACACTCATTTTATTATTTTAAAAACATTTATATTGATTTTTTAGAAAGAGAGGGGGAGAGATACTCCGACTGAATGCCTCCTGCATGCGCCCCAACTGAGGCCAGGGATCCAACATGCAACCCAGTTACCCGCCCTTGACCGGGAATCAAACGTGAGGCCCTTTGGTGTGCAGGCTGACACTCTGTCTGTTGAACCACACCAGCCCAGGCTACAGGAGCCTCCTTAAGGACCCCTGTCTTGGCCCCTAAAAGTCCTCTTTCTCCCCACATCTGCATGAGCACCCCTGTAGCGGACACTCCACCTTGATGAAGTAGTTAGTCCCCTGGACCACCTGGCTCTTGTACTCCGTGGCCTTGAAAATGGGGTACTTCTTGTTTTCCTTCTCCTCCAGCTGGGACTTCACCTAGGGGGCAGGAGAGAGGGGAACTCAGTGTCTTCCTTCCTGCAAGAGTGACTGACACAGGAGCTGCGGCCTCATGTCAAATGTTACAAACTGACCTCTAAGGCCCACCCTTTACAGATTATTTCTCACAATGCAGGACCAAGCATGTCAAACTCGTGACCGGCACGAGGCATGAGGCCTGCCTGCACCTTCAGGGAGGGGCCCTAACCAGGGATAAGAATGGAGGGAGAATGGAGTCAGCAGCTAAGGACAGGAGGGAGGGTCAGGAAGGGAGAAGGCAGGCCCCTCCTGCCACTCCTCTGCCCTCGTATGCAGCCGGCAGGATTCTCACTGCAGGCCTACCATGGGGTTAGGGAAGCGGCAGGTTTGTTGGACTTTGTGTCTTCTCAGAACCTGAGCCTACCTGTGTCTCAGTGCTTACCTGTCCTGCAAGGTGCCATGTTTGGTCCGCAGGGATCTGACCCTGCAGAAGGTGGACAAGCCTGTGGGGATGAGTAACACACACAAACGCACACGGGAGTCTGGGAAGGAATCGTCTCCCTCTTGGCCTGTTTCAGGAGTGGAGGCAGGAAAGCAGGAATGATAAGACCCAAATGCAGGCAATGGGACTGGGCATGTGGCAGCCTCCAGGCACTGCCCGTGGTGACAGTTCACTGATAGTACTGTGGACCGGGAGAAAGACGGGCTGTACTAGAGCCAAGGGGAGCAGGACAGGCCTGGGGATGGGGAGGAAGTTGCCAGTTACCACCCTCAAGGGGCCAGGAGACTGCAGAGGGCCAGGGAAGGCCAAGGTCGGGACTGGTGGGCACTACTTGAGGAGGCTGAGCCAGAATTTGGGACTTTGACATCCTCTGGCCAGGGCTCCCTCTCTGACCTCTGTTCTCCACACCTGCAGCCCAGAGAGCTTGGGGAGGAGTCAGGACCTGAGGCAGCAAGAGGGTGTCCCTGCCCTGTCCTCTAGGAGCCACAGGCAAAGCCTCGCCCTCAGAACTGCCTCCCAGCGGCCATGGTGACCGCCCTCTTACTTGTCACTTTCAAGTGACCAGCACCACATCAGGGAGCCCCGAGACAGCAACTCCTCTCTGCTGAGCTGATGGGCATTCACAGTTCACGCAGCAAGTGAGGAATTCCTTAGGCCTGGGAACCGGGAACCTCAGGAGAGGCTGGGCTCCAGAGCCGTGTGGGAGAGGAACTTCACCCAACTGGCTCACCACGCAGTCCCTACACATTCCTTATTTTCAAAGTCTCAGGGGACTGTCTCACCGTCCTTTACTGTGGTCAGATATTCTAAACCACCTGAGCAAATGGGTGGGGTGGGGTGTGGGGGTTCTATCGGGTTAGGGCAGTGGTCGCATACTCATTAGTCAACAGAGCCAAATATCAACAGTACAACAATTGAAATGTCTTTTGAGGCCAAATTTTTTAAACTTAAACAATATAGGTAGGTACATTGTTATTAACTTAATTAGGGTACTCCTAAGGCTTAGGAAGAGCCACACTCAAGGGGCCAAAGAGCCGAATGTAGCTCTGGAGAGGTACTTTGCCGACCATGGGGTTAGGGAAGCGGCAGGTTTGTTGGACTTTGTGTCTTCTCAGAACCTGAGCCTTCCTGTGGCCCCACCATCCCACCTTTCCCATAACCTTCGGTGAAGGCACCCCAGTGATGCCCACTTCACAGACGAGGAAACTGAGGCACAGAAGTCAGGCGCTGCCCAGGGTCTGAACCAGGCTCTGCCTCTGCATCCCAGCCTGGTGTCTGTTTTTGTTTTACTTGCACAAGGAGCACTGGAATAAGGCAGGGCAGAAGTTAGGACCCCTGCAGATCCTTCCCCAGCTTCACTGACCGGAACCGCCCCAGGACAAGCACACCAGGCCCTTCCCTCTAGAAGCCGAGGCCCAGGGTCCCTGTCCCAGCGTCCATACCCTCCGCGTCCCCGCGAGCCCTGCCCCTCTGCGGACAGGGCGGGACCCGACCCGGGCTCCGGAAGACCCGGGCCGCCTACCTTGTCGGCGATGGCCTGGATCTTGGCTGTGGCGGGTCGGGTTTCGGAGAGGCCACCCTTTATCGTAAGGCTCATGGCGGAGCAGCGGGCACGGAGCAGCTGGCACAGAAGGGAAGAGCAGCGGGCACAGAGCAATGGCCTGCGAGTGAGATTAGCAGCGAAGGCAGAGCGAGGGTTATAACTGAGAGCATGGCCCTCTGTCGTAAGTCCTGGGCTCAGGTGACGGGGGGCGGAAGCAGACGGTGTCGGGGAGGAGGGCGGTCCTGTGGGAAGGGGGGTGGGGCAACGGCGGTTAGGGGTGGGGTGCGGTGGGGTGGGGCATAGGAGTGAGGTAGGGTGGGGAGAGCTGGGCGAGGGACCTGCGTCTTGCACAACCTGGTACCCAGGGAGGGAGCCACCTGGGAACCACTGGCTTGCGCTGCAGTGCGTGTACCCTGTTTGGTGTTGGTTTTATTGGCCCAGGAGACACGCTGGGGAGGTATCCGGCACTGCGCGCCTCCAAAAGGTGTCACTTTCTGATGTTGATTATATTGAGCTGAGGGCGATCAAGACCCAGCCATGGGGTTGGGAGGAGAACTTCCACCTCACCCTTCATGACATTCAGGGAAGGCCCTGGCCGGGGTGGCTCAGTCCTTTGCAGCTTTCTCCTGTGCACCAAAGGGTCCTGGGTTCAACTGCGGTTTCCATATCCCCCTGGGGCCCAAAACTGGAGACAACTGATCAATGTTTCTCTCTCACGTTGATGTTTCTCTCTTGCTCTCCCTCTCCCCTCCTCTCTCTAAAATAAAGGGGGGAACAAAAACTGAAATGATTATATTAAATCATTTAGGTAGGGAGCCTGGTCCAGAAAGAGAGCAAAGATCAGAGAGAACTTTTTTTAATCTGAGACTCAGCTGCATGGCAGGGCAGACAGCTGGTTATCAAACATCTGCTCTTCCCTCTTCCTGTGATTTGTCCTCCTCCCTGTGAATCTGCAAACCCACATCCGGGGCCTGAGCTCTGGAAGCCACGACCTCCGCTGCTACACCCCCTGCAGGGCAGGTTACAGGTGAGAGAGACCCAGAGGTGAGTGGGAGCTGGACCTGAGAGTCCCCAAGAGCAGTAGGGAGAGACGTCTGTGCCCACTGGGCTCCAGAAGTAGCTGGGAACAGAGACTGCCAGGGCATCTTGGAGTCCAGGACCAGGCCTGCCTGGCCTCACTCCCCAGTGCATTGGACTGCTTTGCACTTATCATTGCAGGACCTGGTCCAGCACCCACCTTGCACCAGCGTGTGACCCAGGGACAGAGTGAAGGGCTGACGTGTGAGCAGAGGAGGCACAAAGGAGTCCAATGATGAGATGCCTCCCAGGGCCTTAGGTTGGGGTGGGAGTGGCATTCCAGCTGCACCCTTTCCCCACTCCAGGGCTGCACCTCAGGGGATGCTGGGCCTCTCCCACCACTGGGTGCTGACTGCAGGAGCAGGCCCAGCCTTTCCTTCTGTAGGGCTCCGTGCAGAACCCCAGTGGGAGCGGCCCATGAGCAGGTAAGTGGGAGAGGCCAACTTTTCAGGTACCTACCAGGGAGGAGCCTGGTTTGTAATTCAAAGAAGGGTGGAAGGCTAGGTGTGGAAGGGAAGGAGAGACCCCTACAATTCAGTCATATTTGAATGAATGAATGACTGAATGACTGAATGAGTAAAAAAGGGGCTACATAGCAGACCTGACAAGCTCTGGGCGCTGCTTGGTGAGTCTGAAAGTAACCACAATGGTGATTTGATCATAAATACCTAGCTGGGCAGGTCATGCAGATAATCATATCCTAGGCCTATAGCTTCCTTAGTGAAAGGCCAATCTTTCCCATAAGCAGCCATGCTCATTGTTCTTATGCATCTAGGATCAGATACCTTTGATAAGTCAGGGTGAATTTCTTTTCCAAACCCCTTGGAGGCGTAACCACATTGGCACCAGTTATACTGCTGCCCACATACCATCTCTACTTACTGTAAATGTTAACTATCCTGTAGTCACTAATGTGAAGGAAGTGGGTGTTTCTCCATTTTGCTTCCTGGTAGTCGACATCTCACATGTGTTGCCACATCTCCTTGCTGGGGAGGTAAGTGTGGCCTGTGTGTCTCCACCTAGAGCGGATTCTGGAGGCCTCCTCCTGGTGTCTCCTGGACTCCCTCTGTATGACCTTTTCCTGTGCTGATTTGCTTTGTGTCCCTTTGCCATAATAGATCATAGCCCTCCATCCTCGTACCCTAGGCTTGGGGTTCCCTGATACGTGGCCCTTCACAGAAAAAATCTGCTGAGTCCATTCTGCATGAACATAAACACTACATTGTCACACCCACGAAAATAAACAATTATTCTGCACTATAATCCAACATCCAGTCCATATGCAAGCTTTCCTAATTGACCCCCAAATGACATAGAGCTTTTTCTTTGCACCAGGATCCAATCAAGATTTGTATATGCAAATATGTAAAAGAGTATATCCCCTCCTTTATATAGGCGTTCATTCCTTCCTTCATCCATGACTTTAAGTCTGTGATGATATCAGGACGGTTGTCTTGCGAACTGTCCCAGACTAGGGTCGTGACTGTCTTCTTGTGCACCCTGCTCAGCCTTCCTGTGTCCTGGCAGCTGGGGTGCAGCCCTGAAGGCTGGATGAGGGTCAGGTTTGACTGCCCACAGGTGCGGCTCCTGCGTGGGAGGCCCCACTCCCCGCCTACAGTGTCCGTCCCTTGGGGCGGGTACTGATAGCTTGGACCACCTTTCTTTAGCCCTTGTGCCATTTTCTGATGACTTTCGCCCTGAATCAAAGATTCACTGGGGGCTGCACAGGGTTTTCTCCAATCCTTCCATTTCCTTCTATCTGTGCTCGCTGGCTTTCTTTGCTGAAGAACCTTCAGTCATCAACCAGGTTAAACTACCGCCCTCCTAAAAGGCGGGCACAGGTTTAGTGACCATTGAATTACAACTGTCTAGAGCTGTCATTGCGGTGTCCCGCCACTACGGGGCGATGGCGTGCAGCCGGAGGTAGGCCCTCCCTGGCGCGCGTCACCAGTGAGCGTTCCCGGGTCCGGCCGGCGCGGTCGCGTGACGTCACGCCGCGCGACCCCCGCGAAGCGCAGTGGCGCTGTCCCAGGTACCTGGTCTCTCAATGACGATCGCCATTGTTCCTCGGGTGCAGCTCCCCCCTGAGATCCAGTTGGCGCAGCGCCTGGCAGGGATCGAGCAGGTGACCCGGGACCGGGCGGTGAGGAAGCTCTTTGCTCTGGCCGCCTTCTCTTATTCTCTCCTTCGCTCAGGGCTCAGCCGGATCATGAGGGCAGTGACTGCCCTGTTGCAAGGTTCTGCTGGCCCCAGCTGTAGAGTGAAGCTCTTCACAGCAGGGATGTAGCTTGCAGGCCTCACGCACACTGGGATGAAGCAGCCAGTGAAGCCTGTCTCGTGACGGGTGGACTGCTTAGTGTGTTTCTTGTTGTTGTGAGGCCGCATTTCTTCAGGGGCGGAAGGAGATTATTTTACTGTTTCCTGCACAGGAGGAACTAGGAAGGACCATCTCCCAGCTCGTCCATGCTTTTCAAACCACAGAGGCACGTGAGTATCCTTACCCCTTGGGAAGGCCAGAACCACCGAGTCAGTAGCTTCCACACAGAAACCTGGGTTCTAAGATCTAGAGCAAGAGAGAAGTCCCCATGGTAGCTGGTGTCTCCTGGTGCTTATGTGTGAAACACTTCAACTCGTATTAACTCATTTACCTAAAATACACTCAGCTCAAAAGTCCAAAGGGCTAATACCCTACATTTTATTTATTTATTTATTTCTATAAAATATATTTTTATTGATTTCAGAGAGGAAGGGAGAGGGAAAGAGAGAGAAACATCAATGATGAGAGAGAATCACTGATCAGCTGCCTCCTGCTCGCCCCCTACTGGGGATTGAGCCAAAACCCGGGCATGTGCTCTTGACCAGAATTGAACAGTGGACTCTTCAGTCTGCAGGCCGACGCTCTATCCACTGAGCGTAACCCGCTGGGGCAATATCCTACATTTTAAAATTAAAGTGGCAAGCTGGTTTGGTGTTGTCAAGCTGCTGCACTGACTCTCATCTGATCGTTGTGAAGTTCGTCAGTGAGCTTTTTCTCTTCTGACCACGATCAGCAGTTCTCAACACTGCCGCTAGCCTATGGGGTCACTTGGGGATCTCTAGAGTGTTTTTTTAAATTAAATCTTTATTGTTTAGTTTATTAGAGTTGTTCCTCTTTTTTCACCCTATAGCTCCCCTCTACCCGGTTCCCACCCCACCCTCTGCCCTTACCCTCCCCGCCACTGTCCTCATCCATATGTGTACGATTTTTGTCCAGTCTCTTCCCGCACCCCCACACCCCTTTCCCCCCAGAGAATAGTCAGTCCAATCCCTTTCTATGCCCCTGATTCTATTATATTCACCAGTTTATTCTGTTCATTAGATTATTTATTCATTTGATTTTTTAAAAATATATTTAGTGATTTTTTACAGAGAGGAAAGGAGAGGGATAGAGTTAGAAACATTGATCAGCTGCTTCCTGCACAACCCCCACTGGGGATGTGCCAGCAACCAAGATACATACCCTTGACCGGAATCGAACCTGGGACCCTTCAGTCCACAGGCCAACGCTCCATCCACTGAGCCAAACTGGTGAGGGCTAGTCACTTGATTTTTAGATTCACTTGTTGATAGAGGTGTATTTGTTGTTCATAATTTGTATCTTTACCTTTTTCTTCTTCTTCCTCTTCCAAAAGGATACCTTTCAGCATTTCATATAGTACTGGTTTGGTTGTGATGAACTCCTTTAGCTTTTTCTTATCTGTGAAGCTCTTTATCTGACCTTCAATTCTGAATGATAGCTTTGCTGGGTAAAGTAATCTTGGTTGTAGGTTCTTGGTATTCATCACTTTGAATATTTCTTGCCACTCCCTTCTGGCCTTCATAGTTTCTGTTGAGAAATCAGCTGACAGTCATATGGGTATTCTCTTGCTCCTTTTAAGATTCTCTCTTTGTCTTTTGCTCTTGGCATTTTAATTATGACGTGTCTTGGTGTGGTCCTCTTTGGATTCCTTTTGTTTGGGGTTCTCTGCACTTCCTGGACTTGTAAGTCTATTTCTTTCACCAGGTTGGGGAAATTTTCTCTCATTATTTCTTTAAATAGGTTTTCAATATCTTGCTCTCTCTGTTCTTCTGGCACCCTCATAATTTGGATGTGGGTACGCTTGAAGTTGTCCCAGAGGCTCCTTACACTATCTTCATATTTTTGGATTCTTTTTTCTTTTTATTTTTCTGGTTGGGTGTTTTTTGCTTCTTCCTATTTCAGATCTTTGACTTGATTCTTGCGATCCTCTAGTATGCTGTTGGAACTCTGTATAGTGTTCTTTATTTAAGTCAGTGTATGCTTAATTTCCAGTTGGTCCTTTTTCATAACCTCAAGGGTCTCACTAGATTTCTTGAGGGTCTCACTAAATTTATCGGCGGTTTCTAGAAAATCTTGAAAAACTTATGTGTGGTTTTGAACTCTATATCCAGTAGTTTGCTTTCCTCCATTTCTCTCATTTGTGGCCTGTTTCTTTGTCTCCCGCAGATTTATGCTTCCCCTGTGTTGATAGAATGGCTTTCTGTGTTTAGGTGTCCTATAGGGCCCAGTTGCTCAGCCTCTCCAATTACCTGAGGTGGACACTCTTGGGTGCACCCCTATGTGGGCTGTGTGCACAGTCTTGTTGTAGTTATGCCTTGATTGTTGTAGGTATCACTGAGAGGAACTGACCTCCAGGCCAATTGTCTGTGAGAATCAGCTGTGTCTGCAGTGGGAGAACTTCTGTGCTGGAGACACCCTTCTGGGGCAAGACTTGCTTTAGTGGGGCTTTGGTGCTCACTGAGTCTGCCCCCTGAGTGAGTGCCTTATGGATCTGAGGAGTTGTAATCTGGATGGTCCCACTCTGACCACTGGATACACTGGCTCTTGGATCTCTAAGGAGGTGCTAATTTAGCCTCTGCCTGAGGCTACCCAGCAGGAGCTTCGGAGAGATCTGCAGATTCCTCTTCTTTGTTTGAGGTTTGGAGGTGCCCAGATGAGGCCTAGCTGTGAAGCAATGCAAGCTACTATGGGGCCTTGGGCCTTCTTTTGGAATTTCTGGGTCTCTCTGACCCAGCTGCAGTTTGTTAGGTAATTTTCAGATTGTAAAGGGCCAGGCCTTTCATATGCAAAATCCTCTGTGCACAGCTTGGGTGGGGCGGGTTTTCCGGGTATCAACAGGGCAGAGCAAACAACTATGGCTGCTCCTCAGTCCTACTCAAGAGGCCCTGTGTCTCAGTGTCCTGGTTATAGCTGCAAGCACCTCTGAGAGAAAGCTGCCCTCGAGTTTTGACCAATGCCAGACAGTCCCCTTTCTCCCGTATGAGTCTGAGTCCCCAGAGACTCACCAGGAACTGGAGTACAGAGCAGTCAGGAGCTTGAGACTCACTCCCGATTGAAAAAGACACCGTGTTCTCAGTTGCCAGCCCTTTCCATGTTCTCCTCCGTACCTCTGCACTTTACTTCCGCAGCTCCTCTGAGTCTCAGTGTGCTTTTCTCTTTCCTTCTAGTTGTAGAATTTCCACTCAGCCAGCCTTACTGTGGTTCTGGATGATGTCCGTTTTGTATTTTAGTTGTATTTTTGAAGTGGTGTGCAAGGCAGCAATTTCCAGTGTTTACCTATGCTGCCAGCTTGGTTTAGTCTCTTTAGAGTCTTGATGTCCAGACCCTGCTGTCCTTAAGTGGAGTTCTGAGGGCAGGGCCTAGGCACCAGCATTTGCCTCCCTCTGCTGCCCTAAGGGTGGCCAGGGCCGGGGAGCATCACTGGCATAAGCACTAGGACCATTGCTAGTGGTTTAGTTCAGACTTAAATAGGCAAAGGATCAAAATTTGCTGGGGGGTTGGGGGGCATGCACAGAAATCGCAGAAACTACTTTCTCAACTTGGCAGAGTCTAACTGCATTGGAGTCATTAGTGGAGGAGAATATCTACCTTCTGCACTTTTTACCTTCTAAGGACCTGCAGAAGAGTCTGCTTCGCAAAAGGCAAAGTATAGAGTGTTCACCTAGGGAAACTGGAATGAGTCAGTGAAGGCAGGCCCGTCCATTACTGAACCATCTGATCAGCTCTTTGCTGTTGGGGAAGCCTGTAACGGGAAATAAGAGATGCCCTTTGTGTCCTGATGTCAGAGTGTGGGCAGGGCTGGATTCTCCTGAGGCCTCTTTCTTCGGCATGAAGATGCTGTCTTCTCCCTGTGTCCTCATGTGATTGCCCCTCCCTGTCTGTGTCCTGATCCCATCTTATAAGGACAGCAGTCTGATTGGATGAAGTCCCACACAGTGACCTTATTGTATATTAACTACCTCTTTAAAGACCATATCTATAATAATAATTCACACTAATAAAAGTCAAATATGCTAATTGATCATACCTTTGCTACAACTTAAGCCACACCCACCATCCAATCAGAGCGACTATATGCAAATTAACCCAACCAAGAAGGTGGCCGGCAGCCACGGAGCTGGAGCAAGCAGGAGGCTTGGTTGTCCCAATGATGGAGGAAGCCAAGCTTCCCCTCTGTGGCGGCCACCTTTGAGCTCCACTCAAAGCAACGAAGTTTCAATTATAGAAGGTAAATAAACCCCAGATACCTGCTTTCAGCTGGCCGTGGCCACGGAGCTGGAGCGAGCTGGAGGCTTCCCTCCTGGCCTCCCTGGCCAGCTCTGAGCTCCTCTCAAAGCTCCAAAGTTTCAATTATAGAAGGTAAATAAATCCCAGAATAAAAAAAAAAGAAAAAAAGGAGAGGCTGGGAGCTTCCGTCGCAGGGATTGGCCAGCCTGAAAACGACCCTCAGCCCCTCAACCAGACTGGACAAGCACCCCAGTGGGACCCCCCACCCTAAAGGGGGTGTGGCCAACGTGAAAACAGCCATCAGCCCCTCACTCAGTCTAGCCAAACTTCCATAGGGTGATGGTCCCCACTGGGGAGGAGGGGCTTGATCAGCCTGCAAACATCCATCAGCCCCTCACCAAGGCTGGCCAGGCACCCCGGTGGCGACCCCCACCCTGAAGTGGGTATGTCCAGCTGCAAACAGCCATCAGCCCCTCATCCAGGCTGGCTGGCACCCCAGTGGGGACCCCCACCGAGAAGGGGGCATGACCAGCCTGCAAACACCCATCAGCCCCTCACTCAGGCTGGCCAGGCACCCCAGTTGGACCCCCACCCTGATCTGGGACACCCTTCAGGTCAAACCCCCTAGCCTCCACCATCCACCAGGCCTCTATCCTATATAATGAAAGGGTAATATGCAAACTGACCCTAATAGCAGAACCACTGTGAATGACTGGTCACTATGACACACAATGACCACCAGGGGGCAGATGCTCAGTGCAGGAGCTGCCCCCTGGTGGTTTGTATGCTCCCACAGGGTGAACTCTGCTCAGCCACAAGCCAGGCTGACGGCTGCCAGTACAGAGGTGGTGGGAACCTCTTCCGTCTCCTCAGCAGCACTAAGGATGTCCAACTGCACCTTAGGCCTGCTCCCTGCTGGCAAGAGAACATCCCCCGAGGGCTGCCGGTCTGCCAGAGGGATGTCTGACTGCCAGCTTGGACCGATCCCCCAGGGAGTGGGCCTAAGCTAGCAGGTGGACATCCTCCGTAGGGTCCCAGACAGCTAGAGGGCATAGGCTGGGCTGAGGGACCCCACCAAGTGCACAAATTTTTGTGCACCGGTCCTCTAGTCTATAATAATAAAAGCGTAATATGCTAAGTAGACCAGAGGTCTGGACAAAGCTGGGGCTGCCAGGGAAGCCCAGGTCCCAGGTGCTTGACAGTGGCCGGAGGGAAGCCCAGGTCCTGGGTGCCAGAGGGAAGACGAAGCCAGCAGCCAGGGGAAGACAGGCCTACTTACACAAATTTTCATGCATTGGGCCTCTAGTATACATTATATACATATATTTTATATATATACACTAGAGGCCCGGTGCACGATATTCGTGCACTGGGGGGTTGGGGTTCCCTCAGCCCAGCCTGTCCCTCTCACAGTCTGGGAGCCCTCAGTAGATGTCCTATGGATGGCCACAGTCTGGCAGCAGAGGCTCGGAGCAGGCGTCCCATGTGTGTGTGTGTGTGTGTATGTGTGTGTGTGTGTGTGTCTGCTGGGGCCTGCCCCCAGCTTGCGCCATGTAGGCTCGAAAGCAGTTGCCGTGTGTGTGTGTGTGTGTGTGTGTGTGTGTGTGTGTGTGTGTGTGTGGGGGGCCTTGCCCCC